TAGTTTACGGTCTACAGCCATTCTAATATACTGTAATGATAGCAGGAAGACAATGAGTATAATCCTGGCCGCTTGAATAGAAAGACTTCGGTAGGCGGTAGATTTCTGTGACTCAAGTTCAGCCTTACCTTCGCAGGCAAAAAATTATGAACATTGATTTTATTAATTAATTGACTGAAGAAAACATTATTAAACCGTCCTATCTTAATCTAATTTTTACGTCATATGAATTATATCAGTCAGTCAGACAGGGCAACCAGTCAATATCGGTGTCCGCTTATCCCTTCAGAAGCAGCAGTATGAATCATGCATGGTATTTAAATATTATTTATCTGACTGAATGCAATTAGTTTAGAGTCATACACATATCTGTTCTATTTCTAGTACGGACCTACAAACTCTAGAAAACGAAGATCCTCAGAGCATGATCACCTCGTGGCTTAACTGCAACTACGCTGATGCAAAAGTTTCGCCTGGTGGTGGTCATTACGTTTTGTTTTGCTTAGGCCCAGCGCTGCCTACTACAGCTCTATACAGTGCTACTACAAATCAACAAAGTAAGTCAACTTCATCTAATGCTATCAGATTACAGATGTAGTAATCAGATGCAAAGCTTGGTAAAATGGAAAGGCATGAACTGGCAAGTTCAGCCTATTCGTTTTCACTGACTTCCGTAAAAGATACAGGCATTGGATGCCATCGAAATGCTGCGTTCGGTAAACGAGGAGAAAGTTGTACATCAGTGCGGAATGAGGGAGAACGAACATGAACGAACGTCACGAATTTCTTCTACTGCTACCCTAGAGTTCTAGCAGTTTTTCTAACAGCTTAATGACATTGTGATGAACGTTCGGTTTTGGTCAAACTCAGAGATGTCGTACAGCTGCTCGAATACCATGGAACTTTGGCCTTCTTATATTGTCCCAAAGAGTTCCAAAATCAAGAAGACCATGTTCTGATTTTCAGCGAATCCGAAAAATGAATGAATTTGATTATGATTATAGATTTATTATACTTTGTAATGAATAACAAGTATTTTGACAGTCACCAAGAATTACATTTTGCCCACGTCAGAATGTGTCACACAACGATCCAGGTTTCTGCTGGATTTGCCAGCCCTCATATCCAGAATGATTTGATTCTATCTTTCAATTCAATTCAATTTCAATTATGACTTATCCTTTCGAGTTTTGGAGACAGGCGCGTCAGACAGAGCTACCAACGCCGTTTCCGATCCCGTGCCAGCGTTTGAGCATCAGCAGAAGGCAACCAGGGAATGGAGTGGTAACCTTCAATAGGCTTAGCCCAGGTAAATCTTAATCCTAGCCGGCGCCGGCTCTTCCCCGGTCAAGTGGGCAAGTATGAGCTGTTTCGTCCTTTTTTTGGAAATACTGCAATATGTGCCCAAACCATGTTAATTCTGCGACATCTCATTCGGAGAAACAGCGGCCATACACTGCGGCTATCTCAAATATATAAACTTCGGACCATTTTGAGGCCAACGATTAGTCACAAAAAATTTATTTCAGCCACTAGTACCCGGAATCAACGTTTTTCGGTCGTGATGCACGAATCATCACCTTAGAGGGCTTCACGATGAAAATCGATCTTTATAAAAAAATCTTTGTCTTCATACTCACCTCTGCTTTAGTCGCAATAGTTCGCATTACTATATACAGACCGTTAACACCCTGACCGTTCCAGTTAGCCGGCAGTCCTCCTTCTTCTAATTTCCATAACTAGTAAACACAACCCAGAGGTATATGAACTGCTCTCCACCGGCTCCATTGCTTCTCCGTTTTATACTGACAGAACAGCGACAGGAGAACGAGAAAGTTCTAGGCGTTTCGCTTTGGAAACGTTCAAATCCATGTCGACCGAATCACATTCGACCACAGATAGCCTGAAAATCATTTTCAGAAAATGCCAACAAAACAAGATAGTCTACAAACATCAACTTTTTCGTCTCGACATCCTCAGCTGTGATAAACTCGTCTGACTAATTTATTAATATAGAACATAAACAAGAAAGAGGACAGAATGTTCCTCCTTTCTCGCATCTTTGCGTAGACTTTACCTGGGAGGCTCAATAACGTTATGCCTCGATAATTGGACCACTCCCTGTGGCCTCCGTTCCTGAATATGGCTACAATAACCCCCATACTCCTGTCCGCTGGTGTTTTCCCTGTAGCCATTGC